TCAGCTTGCGTGCTGCCTTCGGCACGCATGCCATAGGTTGCCTACCCCTGATTTAGACCCCTTCCACATGTTGAGAAAGTGGTCTGAGTCAAAGATGGATTCCCAGATTACCAACCTGAGGGGGGATGATGGTGTAAGTGGGGAGAGCTTGTAGAGGGAAGATTACGCTCAACATAGCCAAAACTGGCTGGGTATCCACAAGAATATGTCAGACAGGCCAATATTTTAGATAGGCTTGTGAATCATCAGTGTAAAGATTAGTTATAAAGCCATGTCTTCGAATGAAATCTGCAAAAGAGGATGGGGTATGAAAAGAGGAGGGGGCCAAGAATGGAGCCTGTTAAACCTGCACTGAAAGCTAGAATGGGGATGAGAATGATCCTTAGACCAAAATGCTGAATGATTAGAGAGGCAGGAAGATAGAATAAGGGCCCAGGCAGGACAAAATTTCAAATGAGAGCATGGTTAACTGGGTTGAATACAGTTGACTGTGCAAGGAAGGCAAAGAATACCAATTCTGAGACTTGAACAGAAAGAGGTTGTTAAGAGACTTTGGTGAACGCTGTTGTACTAAATTGCATGCTGATATTTTGAATTAAGTGGAAATTTGTCTATGACAAAATTCAAAGATGACCTGTTGCTTTGGGGAAATTTTGCTCAGCATTCCAGTGATAGGTATTTCTAAAGTAGATCCCTAATGAAATGTGTTATGCTACTTTGTAAATCATAGAACTGTATTCTTCATTTCTGTTCAAAGTAAACAAATGGAAAATTGGTGTTACATTATCAGTTTAGGGTAGAACATTGGAACTTCTATGTGAGAATAACTACATTAAATAGATTTAACATGCTATTGATTCCCTATTTCAGTGGTAGTTTTGTTTTGCATTGACAGGGACTTGGGGAACAGAATTGGTATTCTAAGCCAATATTTTGCTCAAAAGCTTGTGTGTGGTTTCCTATTCAAACCTAACATAAGAGTGACAGCTGTTGTCGGGTATGTCTGCACAGCAGCTGGGAGATGGGATTCCCAACTCAGGTACACATACACACAACAACTGTTCGAGCTAGTGCTTAAGAATAGTTGTGTGGCGGCTGTAGCAGCAAGGGCGGGAGCTTGAACTGATTGTATGCTGGCAGCTAATCATCCCACCTGACCCTCCAGGGTATGCACTTGGGTGGCTAGCCAAGCTACCACCCATGCTGCCTCAGTCACACCATTATTCTTAGGTGCTAGTTTAAGCCGAGTTAGTACGTGTATGTCTACTTGAGCTGGAAAACCCATCTCCCTGCTGTAGACATACCCATAGTGATTGCATTAAAGTAGACTACTTGGATATTATTACTGTTACAAATCAGACCAATTGTTATGACAAACTTAATGTAGTTCATAGTAGACTGGATCTGCACTTGAAATGAAACTTAAATATTTTGGTTACTGTTCTCAATTGACTTTTGAGTTAAGATCCTATTGAGATGAATGAGGTTCACACCTCCAGAGCAAATGGTTTGTCTCATTCTGTAGTTTCAAGAAGAGGCATCACTCGGTTGTTTCACATTTGGAAAGAGATTAGATTGGGGCCTTGAGCCACTACCACAGTACAAAGACCAAATAACCAGGACGAGAATTTTTGTTTTAATGGCAGCTTAAATGCTGCAGAGAACACTGAAATTCAGCTTGTCTTGATTGCAGGATTTGTCATTTGCTTCTAGCAGAAAAAGTGACAGTATCTGTAATGATATCGTTAAATCACGAGCCAAAATTCCAGTCTGATTTCCCCATTCCAAATTAAACTAATTTAATTTCTTTCTTTTTCTCTTCTTTCCCTAACAATGAATTTGGTTGTTGCCTTTTCTTATTCCTTGTCATTTTAGATCTTAGAACATGGACTTATTTAACTGAATCAATTTAGAAACTGTTATAGTGCACCCTCTTGTGTTGACACACTTATTTTTTTCTACCTTTTCAATTTAGCTTAAGTTGATAAAAGCTAAATTGATACTAGTCACTCTTAAACTGAAATGGGTGCACTGAATTAATTAACTCTTTCTAAATTGATTAAGTTAGTGGCACAACTTTTCTTTCATAGACAAGAGGCTTCATTGTCACCTCATCACAAGCTTCCTCCATCTGTGCCCACCTGCATTTCTGGAGTTCAGTACATTATGCATCACAAAATTCTGGACATTGCAAAGGCAAGTGCTAGCACTATGCAGATGAGATTTACCTTTTGCTATGTATGACTGTACCACTACCACTAGGATGGTCCAGTGCTTGGAAAAGATTAGTTTGTGGATGAAGAATAGTTGATTGAAGCTGAACCCAAGCAACATACAGGGTATTCACTAAAAAGGTGATTTAATGTTTAACTCAATTAATGCTTAACACAATGTTAACAAGGGTGAAGACTCTTGGGCCAGAATAGGGGAACAGGTTAAAGAATATGTAAATTAGATGAAATTCACCCTAGAGTATTTAAGGAACTAGCCAAAGCAACCATTAGTGTTTATCTTTGAAGACCTCATGGAGAATGGGTGAGGTCCCAGAGGACTGGAGGGAGCAAAAAGCATAGCTCTGCCTTCAAGAAGGGGACTAAGAAGGAACTGGGCAATTATAGACCAGTTAGACTAACTTTGATTCCCTGAGAAATACTATAACGAAATTATAAAAGTTTGTTCAAACCTGGGTGGTGATAATAAGGTCATAGGTATTAGCCAGCACTGATTCGATCAGGAACAAATCCTGCCAAACCATAGTGGATTGGGGGGGGGGCAGTAAACATGACATCTGGACTTCAGTAAAGCTTTTGACACAGTCCCATAAGCAGACTAGGGTAATACTTCATCTAGACCAGTACTTTAAAGTGGGTACACAACTGGTTGAAAGACTGTACTCAAAGAGTAGTTATTAATAATTGTCTTTCGAACTGTGAGGGCGTATCAACTGAGGTCCCACAGGGGCCTGCCTTGGGTCTGGTACTAGTCAATATTTTCATTAACTGTTTGGGTGATAGAGTGGGGAGTATGCATATACAATTTGCAGCTCACAGCAATGTGGGAGGGGTTGAAAGCTCTTTGGAGGACAGGATTAGAATTCAAAATGATCTTGATAAATTGGAGAATTGGCTTGAAATAAATAAGACGAAATTCAGTAGACACGTGCAAAGTACTACACTTAGGAAGGAAAAACCAAATGCACAATTACAAAATGAGAAATACCTGGCTGGACAGTAGTACTGCTGGAAAAAAATCGGGAGGTTGTAGTGGATCACAAATTGAATGTCAACGGTGTGGTTCTGTTGTACCAAAAAAAAAGCCCAATGTTATTCTGTATTCACAGAAATGTTGCATGTAAGACATAGGAAGATAAATTGCTGTTGTCTACTGAGCATTGGTGAGGCTTCAGATGGAGAACTTTGTCTAGTTTTGGGCACTGTATTTTAACAGATATGTGAACAAATTGGAGAGAGGCAAGAGGAGAGCAACAAATATGATGAGGAAAGGTTGAAAAAACTAGGCATATTTAATCTAGAGGGATAGTTAAGCTCTGCAACAGATTACCTAGGGCGGTTGTGGAATCTCCATCGATTGATGGTTTTTAAGAACAGGTTAGACTAACACTTGTCACGAATGGTCAAGGTATACTTAACTCTGCCAGCTCGAGGGGAGATGGATTAGATCACTAGTTTTCAAACAGGAGTCTGGGGCCCAAGGGGGCCTCAAGCAGGTTTCAGGGGGGCCTCCAAGCAGGGCCAGCAGTAGACTTGCTGGGGCCTAGAGCAGAAAGCCGAAGCCCCACTGCATGAGGCTGAAGCCCAGGTACCTGAGCCCCACCGCCTGGGGCTGAAGCCTGAACAGTGTATCTTTGTGGGGGCCCCTGTGGCGTGGGGGCCCCAGGCAATTGCCCTGCTTGCTATCCCTCTAATGCCGGCCCTGGCTTTTATATGTAGAAACCCAGCTATTGTGGCACAAAGTGGGCCATGGAGTTTTTACAGCATGTTCGGGGGGGGGGAGGGAGGGAATCTCAGAAAGAAAACCCCTGGATTAGATGACCTCTTGAGGTCCCTTTCAGCCCTACATTTCTATTATTCTATTCTAATGGGCTGAGGAAAGCATTTTGAAGAGTTTGCAGCCACAATGCAATCTCCATTGGTTGAAGGTACTCACCCACAATTGGTCAAATTAGTCTGTAGTTCAGGAGTACTCCTGGATTCTTCACTGATGCAAAGCTGTCGCCTAGCAGCATCCACGAGTAATATTTTCCTACCACCTGGCTAGGAGACTCCATCTTTTCCTGGTGATCGATGACCTGTCCTCAGTTGTTCATGCCTTCATCATCTTGACTGTACTACGGCAATGTAGCATATCTTTGCATGAAGCTTTCAGTGCTTAGGAAACTCAGCTGGTATAGAATACTGCAGCATTGTCTCCTCAGTAACACTGGCTTACTGCAAACACACCAGTCCTATTCTCCAATCCATACACTGGCTTACCATAGAATATCAGGTCAAGTACAAGGTTTCAGCCCTTATCTTTAAGGTGCTCAATTACATGGGCTCAGGGTATCTGAAAGACTGCCAAAAGCTCTGGAATGAAGACTGTGGTTGACAGCTTTGCTCTTCTGGCACAATGCAACTTTCTACAATAAAGGTGAACTCATCTCTGCAGTATCAGAGGGGTAGCCGTGTTAGTCTGAATCTGTGAAAAGCAACATAGGGTCCTGTGGCACCTTTAAGACTAACAGAAGTATTGAGAGCATAAGCTTTCGTGGGTAAGAACCTCACTTCTTCAGATACCCACGAAAACTTATGCTTATCCTCTCTGAACTCCTCCTCAGTGCAATGTTCCATTATTATCTATTTATATTTCACAGTAAAGCTTCCAACTGTAGCAAAAATTCTTGTTAGAAATTTTAAATTCTTTAATGATGATGTGCATATCTGTTGTCATTTCTGCCTGCCTTGGCTTCAGAAGTCCTTTTTCATCTGTGCTATGCAGTTACCTTCACTTCTGTATTCCTTTGCTTAAATTGCATTTGCTCATTTTTGAAAGAATGGCAATTATGTAATAAAGGATACTTTTTCACTATAAGAATCTCCCCTTAGAATTCTCTCACTTTCAGGTGTTTTGTTTTAATAATGTTAAGGCTATACAAGATATTTTCTTAAACTGGTATGCATTCACAATTTTTATTCAATTGTAGCTTTTTTTCTTCTGGGTATATTTCAGTAATCTTAATGAAAATGAAATCATCACTTTTTGGTAATAACCTATTACCATGGACTTTGAGGTTGTTTTTAAATAGAGATTTAAATTTGATATTTAAATCTCAAGTTCTTTGTTCAATTCAGTTGTGGATCATGCTTCTTGTTTCCTCCCTTTTTAAGATCAAATTACTTATGGTTGAGATACAGTAACATCTGTAAACAAAAATCATGGGGTTATGCACTGGTCAACACAGACTTTTGGTGAAGTTCCAGTTATTGATTCTTACTAACACAGAGTTCCAATATGCTCTTTAAAGATGGGGCATCCAGGTGGGAAGAAGTCTAGGAATAAAAAGGGAGATAATTTTAAGGGTGCAAAGATTTTTCTCATTAGGGATGCTTTTGAAAGGCAAATATTTTTGGTTCTATGTGAGGCCTCATTTTCTGTACAGTTTAAAAGATGTTGAATTATTTAGCCATAACAATGTTTGTTGGGACTACATAGTTGGATGAAACAACTATCTGTTCTTTACAGTATTCTAAACAAAAATTGTAATCCTTAATTGGCATTTACATGACCTTTAAGGTTGCCACAGTACAGGGGAAAAGATGATTATAGGGATGAAGCTGCTTTTTCAAAACTGTTAGTATATTTTTTTTAGTAGCTTATTTATGTGCATTTTAAGATCTGGGGTGAAATTCTGGCTTTCTGGCCTCATTGCCATCAAGGACTTTTACCCCTGGTTCCTTTTCTCTTTTCTATACACATGACTTTTAACTCTTCTTGCCTAGCAGCTAATCCTTGGGGTTTTTTGGTCTACTATCGGAAATAAGTAAGTTATAGTATGGCATAAGTATGCCAGTGACCTTTGTGTTGTAGACCTAAATGGATAATCCAGTATTTTGAGCTTAAAATGTTGGCTGTGAATATGTAATAACCTTCTTACTGTCATATAATGTATATACAAGAGTAACAACTTTCGTGGCTGTAAACTGAGAAGCCAGAACTGATGCAAAGATTCAGTAGGTGTGACAACAGAGGTCTCAGGTGGCCAGTTCTGTTGATATTGGTACAAAATTTAGGAGAAACTCAGCTAACCCAATTGCCATATTATTAAATACATGTTTTTCAAGATGTTCATATTCAATAATATGAAATGAGAATACAGTATAGCCTGGTATCAAGTAAATCCATCCCTATCATCTGTTTAGTTAACTTTTCTTTAAAAACATAGAAATATTTATTAGTAGATATTTCACATATATACAAACGTTAGGATTAGCAAATCAAAACCTTTACTGAGTAGTGATGAAGTACAGTTTATCAAAGGCAACCCAATATTAATTCAACTTTGAGATCCTAAGTGAGAAAAAACAGATTTTATGCAACTGTGCTCTATGGTTTCATATAAGATGACACTTAGTGTTGACAGAAGTCAGCACCTTTAATCTGATTATGGTCTCTGATAGAATAAACAATATCTGGGCTATGATGAATACTGAACCATATCAAATTGACCTTTCTATCTTAACACTTTTTTTTCCATTTAATAATGTCTTTAACTCCTCTCTATGAAACTCCATTTACCTTTAATTGTTACCTTGTTTTATTCATCCAAGTTATCTTAATATACTGTTCTAAAGAACTTATTTTAAAACATTTTTTTTCTCTGTTGCAGATTTGCTGGGAAAATAATGAAATAAAATATGGAGTTTTCTATACTGGAATATATTTCATGGACCATGGGGGAGAGAGCCTATGCTGTTAAAAGGAAAAGGAAGACTCAAGGAAATGAGAGAACAGCAATATAATACCAGACAAGAATTTTCTATTTTTGTAATGTATTAAGGCCATAGCATTTAAGAATTCTTTTCCAATTCATGTTTTGCAGTAATACTTTGTTTCAAAGACATCCCTAGAAGGAAAAGTCAGATACTGGGTGACATGCTCAGCAAGAACTTTTATTCTAACAAAGGTGGACTTTCAGAATATTTTAATTTTAACAGGACATCATTAGTTTTATGGGTTTTTCATTCTTTTGTAACTTTGGAGACTAAAAACCTTTTTGTGGGGTTACAAATCTAGTTGACAGACTGTTCCCGATAAATAGCCAACAGCTGCAGAAGACAAACTCTTTAAGCGGATGCCTTTGTACTATCTGAACAGAATGCCATGACTTTGAGGCACTTCTCATAAGTTCTTCTTTGCCTTATACTTGTCATATCCTTAAAAATATTAAAAGTGCAAAGAGCTTGATTTTTATATACATTTTAAAAAAAATGGCGTGGGCGAAGTTCTTGCGGAAGCCTGCGGGTAACCTTGGAAAAGTGTATCAGCCTGGAAGTATGTTGTCCTTGGCCCCTACCAAAGGCTTGTTAAATGAGCCAGGACAAAATAGTTGCTTTCTAAACAGTGCTGTACAGGTAAGAAAAGATTGTCACCACTTTTACACTTTTTTATTTTTTTTGTAAACAAGCTGATGTTTACAGCAATGTATTTGTATTATGAACATGTATCTGTTCTTTTTGAAAGGCTATTAAAGCCTCTGTGTAATGTATATGCTTCTTGCACTGCAGAAGTACAGTAAGTTTTTCATTTAATGGTTTTGACTGTGGTCATGTTTTCTTAATCTGTTGATAACGATGCCAGGTGCACTCCTACTAAAACCACAGTAGTGCTTTCTCATTTGTAAGAACACATTACTTTCCTGAACAAATGGTGCATATTTTACAGGTAGCAAATTTTTGAAAATCTGCTTAATTGGCATCTGTCCTTTAAGAATGGATTAGGACTGTTGCAAAACCTTTTACTTTGCTAACAAAATAGATTGTGGAAGATTGGGTAAATGAAATAAACGGGAAGCTATGGTACTAGTGTTTTATGCATTTCTCTTAATTGGTGTAGATTTATCCAAAGGAGTTAGCATATACTTTTCAAATTATAATGAACAGTGACACTTAAATATCTGGTCTACCATTTTATTTGCAAGTTTCAGGAACAGACACTTGTCTTTCCCTTCAAATCTGGTAGCAAGCCACTTGTAATGTCCACACTGAATTTTTAAAACTTTTTTTTATATGTTGGGCAGGAAATGTTTGTAGTCATATTAATTCACAAAGTGTACTAGACAATTTTCTTAATTGGACCAGGCATTTTCTTTTACCTAAACTACTATCACTTGAGAATTTAGTATATAAATCTATGGTGCTTAATCCAAATTGTTTTTGTTAGTATCTTGGACTGAATTCTATTTTATTATGAATTTTTTGATCAAAGACCTGATTCAATCTCAGGCATGTGTATATAGCAACAAATCTATATAGTATCTATGATCAGAAACTTGTTCCATGTTCCCTTCTTATCAAGGAAATAAAACATAGGTTTGCTTTCACTGTATAAAAGCATATATTTTAAAAAGCCAATTCTTACATGTGTATGTCTTGCTACATACTGCCATGTTTATAGATGATCTATAGTTCTAAAAAATATTCTAAATACCATCATAGGTCTCAAAATTCACGATAAATTAAGCTTAAAGGCATTCTCCTGGGATGCTGTATGGTGATAAACTTCCTTTCAGAGGGCAGCTATTTGTTCCTAAATATAGGGTTATTTTTTATGTTTGTTCCACAAGTGCATATTATTCTCCTAACTGTGATGCCAGCCCAATAAAAAGCCCTTGTTAGTGTGGGAGAAAACCTAGTTCCATAGTAGACGATAACCTTTCCCATGTTGCCAGTGGGCAGAATACCAACAAAAATCAGTCTCAGAATAGTGTTGGATCTCAAGTGAAATTCAATTTTTAAATTGCATATTGCTGTGTTTTCTGTTTATTCTTCATTATCCTGCTGTAGGGCATCTTTCCTATTAATATTTACATTAGCTTTAAAAAGGGTGAAGGGGAACATCTGTCTCTTGTTGTACTACACTTTAGTGAGATCTATTGTAGAACAGTTTTATGTAAAAAACTAACACATACAAACAATGTGTAGCCTTTTAGATCATACCAGCATAAGTACATTGCAGTACTCATTAGATTATGGTGTTAATTATGTCCTTTGACAAAGGGTTTGCAGCATCAGTGGATCTATGCCAGCTGTCAAAATGTTACTATTTTTAAATTGTCTGGTTGTATTTGTATTTAAAACAGGGAATAATATGGATACAGCAGAATGAATATGCTGCTTTACATTCATTTTAACCGGAACAACCTGACCTATATTCAGTTTAGTTTTGCTTTTCCCTTAGAGTGCCCTAAAATTAAACCCAAAGTCCATTTTTTAGTTAGTTTCAGACAGTCCTACCACCCACCAATCCACAGATGTTGATTCGGTGGAGAGATAATTGGCAACAATGTCCTTTTATGAGGAGGAGAGTGGGTTGTTTTTTTGTCCCTTCCCCTTCCTCCCATCTTTAAAAGTGCTTTGTACTCTGACTTTGTTTTCAAATGTACTTTATTCATTTTTGCATCTATATAGACAAATGTTTATTCCTTTTTATTATTGCTGGGTTAGGTTTCAGCCTGAAAACTGCTTGCCACTCCCACTCCATACACAGTCTCTGTAAGAGAACTCTGATCTGTTGCACAAGCACTGCAACTTAGTTTTCATAAAATAAAAGGTAGATATAGGAAAAGATTTAGAAAGCCTCCTAACTTTAAAAATTTCAGTGAATTGTTTTTATTTTAACCTGTTAAGACAAATATTTTTCAACAGCCCTTGTAATAAAAAGATAAATCGTACAGTATGGGTTGTGAATATACAAAAATTGTAGCTAACAATTGTTTTATTGTTTACACTTCTTTCTCCATTTGAAAGAGTACATTGGGAGGGTGGAGTAAAGTAAAAAGTCAGAGGAAGACTTCTACTTCTTTGTGCATTTTCCCTGATAAGATCCATCTACATTTTGCCATCTATATTTACCATAATTCCTGTAACCCCATCTGTGTTTGCCACTCACTTTATAAATGTATGTTCTCACTTGTTCAGCAAATTATAAATATTTCTTACACCCCTCTCCATCTTTGCAATATGAGGGACCATTATTCTTAAAATAAAAAATTCTGCACATGGGAATACATGCGTGAAAGGCACAAATGCTAGTCCTAATGGGGGGAAAAAACAACAATTGTAGTAATTATCATGCTAACATTGTACATGCCACATAGTTAAAAAAATAGTCTAATGTGGTTAAATTAATCTTATATTTTTAGGTAAGAAATCTTTAGACTAGAATCCTTATTTTCTTTTCCATTTTATTTTTCTGGTAGGTTTTATGGCAGCTTGACATATTCCGACGGAGCTTAAGAGGTCTAACTGGACATATCTGTCAGGGAGATGCCTGCATATTTTGTGCTTTAAAGGTAAATACTGAATATTTCAAATGGAAGTTAAATCAATTTGTACTTCCAGTTTTTCTATCCATTTCATGACATGGAGACTAATTTTCATCAGAATAAAGTAGTACTTTTCAGACACTAATCGTTGGTACACGTATTCAGTCAGCAGTGGAGAGAGACCTTACTAATGAGGAGTTGATCTCTAGGTGTATGGAAATTGCAACCAATGTTTCAAAATCTTGTTCACATCTAAGTAGCAGAGGCGCATACATTTATATTTAAACAAAATGTGAATTCCAACTCTTGTCCCTTATATAGATGACTTAAACAGTTTGTATTGTAAATTAGTTTGTATTATGCTAATTATTAACTTTCAGTTTGCAGTTTGGGAATTTTATGTTTTAAGTGTGTTGACCATATCTTTTCAAACAGTAACTCTGTTTTATAAGTTCTAAGGCGTTTGTAACTGAATAATCGACTTTAAGTGTATTTGGGTTTTTTCCAGCTTGAAAGCAGTGAGCAGTTACCATAGTTATTGGATAATTAAAATAAAGCTCATAAGTGCTACATGTTTGTACATCAGCATCTAATCTGCATATTTTAACTATTGTCTGACACACTTCCATCTAAAACTGCATCAAAACTTCAAGTTCATAAACAAATGTTCTGTTCTAGTCTGTATATGTTTTTATACTGCCTTCTTTATTTTATAGTATTTGATTGCCTATGTTTAACATTGGAGGAAATATCTGTAGATGTGAAATAGCCAAATAAGTAAGTTTAAGGGGGGAAGGGGAAACCTCTCACACACTTTGCTTGGATTTTTATTCCTTTGTGTGTTCTTGGCTAACTCTGAAATTCTACAGTAAACACATCTTTGAGATTCCAATATGATCATGTGGAATGGGTAGCGATATGTAGAACGTAAGAGTAGCTGATACAACATGGAATATGGGGAAAAATACTGTTCAGTAAAGAGATGTTTTTCTGCCTGTGCTACATTTACTTTGTATGTAATGTGACAAAGTTCCTCCTCTATCTTGGTGGGTCCTGCACTTATTGGTGGATTTTCTTGGCTCAGAGATTCACCATGTGGGTTGGGGAACAGCCCAGAGACCTTCCCCTCTGGAAGAACCCACAGTCCAGGTCAATTGGGAGGTTTGGGGGAACCCAGCTCCGCCCTCTACTCCAGGTTCCAGCCCAGGGCCCTGTGGACTGCAGCTGTCTATAGTGCCTCCTGTAATAGCTGCATGACAGCTACTTCCCCATGGCCTCCTCCAAACATCTTCCTTATTCTCACCACAGGACCTTCCTCCTGGTGTCTGATAATGCTTGTGCTCCTCAGTCCTCCAGCAGCACACACACACACACTCTCTCACTCTCAGCTCCTTGTGCCTCTTGCTCCCAGCTCCTCACGCTCACACCACAAACTGAAGTGAGCTCCTTTTAAAACCCAGGTGCCCTGATTAGCCTGCCTTAATTGATTCTAGCAGCTTCTTAATTGGCTCCAGGTGTCCTAATTAGCCTGCCTGCCTTAACTGGTTCTAGCAGGTTCCTGATTACTCTAGTGCAGCCCCTGCTCTGGTCACTCAGGGAACAGAAAACTACTCATCCAATGACCAGTATATTTGCCCTCTACCAGACTCCTGTACCCCACTGGTCTGGGTCTGTCATAGTAAGTACACTCTGCTTTTTGGGTGAGACCTATCTGTTGTACTGGCTGAATTTGTGGTCCGAGGTGTGTATACAGCACACAGTTAAGGAGCAGAACAGCTTGGTTGTCAGCTGCATTTCCTTTGGGCTGTGTGGGTTTCAGAGTGACTCTTAACAAGTAGTACTATATACTGTGCAGCACAACTGGACTAGAATGGTGTAAATGAGGACTGAATGAAAAGTAGTTGAAAGGAAATCAGACAACAGATTTGGGTTTAGAGGTATGGAGGGGGATTTAAAATAAAACAAAATGGGAGGGGTAAAAATAAGGGAATAGGAAGAACACACTTTGTCCTATGTGTGGGGGTTTTGGGAGAAATTCCCAAAGTGTTTCTGTATTTCTTCTGTTCAGAATTTTTCCACTCAGAATTTATACAACTGTTCTTCTGTAAAGGCTTGTAGGCTTGAAAGTAGACCTAAAAATCTTTGTTTTGGTTCATGATTGTGAATATCTATACAACCTTTCCTACTGCTTGTGTTTCTTGGAGGTGGCAAGGCATTTAAATGATTAAAAACCCTGTTCTCATACAGGACCTCAAGAGTCTTGCGTTTAATACTCTGATGGATACCAAAAACTGAACCAGCAGGCAGAGCAGAGAGGTGGCATATGATAAATATTTACAAATCAAAGTGAACTGAACGTTGTTAGATTTTTATAAATGTTAACCTCCATTTTTGGAGGCCTTGCTTGTAATTTTTATCAAAGTAATAATATAGTAATTGGTGTTTTAGGGGCAAGGGAGAAGTTAGATATTGTACTGCCATTTTGATTGTAGCATCATCTTTTTTTCATAAGCATCCAAGACTAGCTTAACTGTTGTACCTGAAGATCTGTTGGACAGAGCACACATTATCACTGTGGATGCCAAAGAAGTGGAGAATATCACTATTTAGACTTGATGTGGCTTTTCTTATAAGACTAAATTTGAAGCCAAAAACTAATTCTTGGGAATGGACTTCACCTACCACTTTAGTTTTTGCCTCTTATTTAATGTCCCAAAAATTATATCAACTGCTTAACTTCATGTCCCCTCAATTGATTTTTTTTTTTTATAGCTTTGAATAACTAGATCAGGGAATACAAATCTCTGCTGGACTAAAGTTATTTAGTCTTTATGTAACCTTCAATAAGTCTGTCCCATAGTTATTTCAAGAACACACACAGTATACTTAACTCTAGTGTCAGCTGACCCAGCTTCTTATAACCTTCACTGGTTCTGCAGTTAACGGACTTAATTATAGTATTTTTCAGTATCCCTATACAAACTTCTAGTTAAAAAACAAAACGAATTGGATGCTGATCATAGCCATCTTTAACGGGGGAAGTGTGTAATTTCCAAACAAGTGTTTTGCATATTTCTTTACCATTTTAGAGAGAGGTGTATCTTTTTATAATCTACCTGTTTACATTATTTTTACAAAATCAGTCATTCATTAAATAATGCTCAAGTTACTCTAACATTTCATCCATTTCACCAGCCATAAAGCTAAACTGATAGATTATGCATGGCTTGGTAACTATTTTAGTGACCAAGATATAAAGTAAACTTACAAATTTTGGACTGTGTAAAAGCAGTGAATAAGTATTAATCACAGTTCTGTACATTTTCATGATTTTAATAGGCCAAGCATAAAATCTGCTTGCCTGATCTATATTGATATGGCTCAGCTCGGTCAGAGTAAACTGTATAATAGATCACGTCTTAGCAAAAACACAGAAATGGGATTGATTTGGAGGGAAACGATCTATCAATTTCAAAATGTACAATTACCCCATTGTATGTTTTTATATCCATTTAATATTGAATAGGTAAAAATAGCTAATGGGATTTTTTTACTTGCTCCAGGTAAATAAACAGAATTTTGTATTAAATGCAGTATTAAATTTCCTTTCAGCAGTAACATCTATTTATGAATTGTTGACCTGTTCTGATACGATATATGAAAAAAAGTCAGTGAAGTTATCAATCATTTCACTTACTTCTAGACAATATTTGCACAGTTTCAACACAGTCGAGAAAAGGCACTCCCATCAGATAATATGAGGCATGCCTTGGCTGAAAGCTTTAAAGATGAACATCGTTTTCAGCTTGGCTTAATGGATGATGCAGCAGAATGCTTTGTGAGTATTTACAGTGGTGTTAATTTGTTTCTTGTTAAGAGTTTTTCTTGTTTTGGTACGTTGCCAAATTGGCTCTTTGTATTAAACTCTGGCAGAATGGTGAAATAGGTCCTGAAGGATTTACTGTGCAAGGGCCTTAATAAACAAACACAACACAGTGTTTGATTCTTTTTTTTTACCAAGAGGATGATATGCTTTCACCAGTGATTTTTCTCCGCTCCAGTTGAAAGAACCATCTTATACAAAAATTTCCAAAGTAAGCTGCTCAATATAGAGAGAGCATTGAACCCAGTCAGCAGTTCTGAAACTTGAACTGTGCTCTTCAGATTACCCAACTGAGTTGCAATTTTAATGTAATGAAATAAAGTATCCTCTTCAATGAGATGTGCACAGTGAAAGAAACTAACATTTTCACTAGATTTAATAAATGTGATGTAGCCATTTCTGTTTGTATTTCATGTACTAAAATATAGTTCACACATCTAAGAAATATTTCACTGGCCATGTAACTACTCAGTTGCCTGGTGTTTAGCTCATTTAATATGAGGGTTGTCCACAAAAGATAATTACTTCAAATATTACATAACATGAAATGGTGCCTGCTGATGGATTTGAAGTATGATCGCATGAGGGGAGGGTTAGCTCAGTGGTTTGAGAATTGGCCTGCTAAACCCAGGGTTGTGAATTCAATCCTTGAGGGGGCCATTTAGGGATCTGGGGCAAAATAATCTGTGAGGGATGGTCCTTGGTCCTGCTAATGAAGGCAGGGGCCTTGATGACCTTTCGGGGTCCCTTCCAGTTCTATGAGAGAGGTATATCTCCATATAATTAAGACAGTATATATCTGTCTTAAGATTTGCCTACATGAGCATTTATCTGAAATCCTCCTATTGTTTGTTTAGCACCAGAGAGGTACTAGAACCAATGGTGGGGATGCTAATATAGACAAAGATAGACTTTTTTTACCATGGTGTCATCTAAAGCTTCTCATTTCATTGGTGGGAGATCCCTGAAAAATTTTAATGTAGAGATAGTCTTCAGTTTTCATACAGATCCTGTCATCCCTGATGGGGCACGCTATTGTACCAACAGCTTCAAATCGTTTCTAATGGCTTGTGACTCAGTGAATGACTGACTTGTATCTTCATTGTATTTCAACTCATGTTTTCCCCACACAAATTTGGGAATGGCTGACACTCTCTCCTTTTTGTTTTTTGTAAATTGATCTAGATTGTAAGCTCCTTAGTGAAAATGAATCACCTTGTGTCCATGTAGCACTACATGACTGTTAAGTAAACATTCTATCTGTCCCAATATGGTTAATATTTTCAGAGCAGCTTTATAATAAATTACTGATTACTTCATTTGAGTTATTACTACTCTCCTTCATATTTCATAATGAAATTGATGATACAAGACATTTTGAAACATGAGCCAAGTTCTTTACTGGTGTAAATTGGCACATCTCCATTGAATTCTGAGGATTTGGCCCTGTTTCTCATACTCTGAAAAGCAATGAAAAAGATTGCTTAGAAAAGCTTTCTTGTATGTAATGCGCTGATTTGATACCTGATTGCATGGAAGTGATCTAGTAACTAATTACAGTAATTGGTTGCTGAGATGCTATTGGTATCGAGCTTAATAGTATTTCATTTTGATTCATGTGATTAATTTTCTGCAAGGAGCACTCCATCTGCAACAGGGCCACTGTTCCTCTTGTTTCTAGCTTGATTAGCTCCACCCCCTAGCTGTTAGACAACTTGTGCCTACTTAACAGTGACCCTTCTTGCTGCAGTTTGTGGTGTATCCTCAGTTTCTAGTTACTTTGCAGCTGATTAGTGAGCTCCTTACTGGAAGAGAGCATCACTATGAAGCAACAACACTTTTCAGTATTTGTTACCTGCTGTGTGGGACCTTCACCCTGCCATGAGAAGCCAGGGAAACCCCAAGAAACATAACCCTGTTCCCCCGAATGCATGGCCTCATCCAACATGGGAGGTGCTAGGACTGAGGCAAAGACCTGGAGAAGTATGTAGTGGGGTCAGAGTAGCCTCACATCATATTTTTCCCCTCTTTACTCTGTTTACAGGATGGAGGGGAAAGCTCTGTATTTTCCTCTTTGAAGTGTCTGCATCACAGGGTATCATTTAAGTAGATGAGACCCTAAACCTCCCTCCTCTTCCCCCTCACCCCCCCCCCATCCTCCAAGTACTGTTAGGAGTGGTCATTATGCTGAAGGAAGGGCTATCAAGGGGCTTTGTACTGGGTCTGCCTGCCAGGTATTCCCATCTTTACTCAGATGGAAGGCAGTTCATTCAAGGATTCTGAGACAGTGGATGGAAGACGGTGAATGTTTTCTTGAAGAGAAGTCCTTTCCCTGATCCAAGAGCAAAGAAAGGGGTTGATGTTGAAGATCTGGAAACTCTGTGGAAGAGTTGAAAGTCTAGTGCTCTAGCTTCCTCCTTGCTCAAAGTAATATTGCTGGCAGAAGAACTCTGGTTCTGAACATAGAAAAGTGCTGTGTGTCACCTTCAGTTCTGGCAGGCCAGTTCTCAGTATGAAGAAATCTGCTTCTTTCTCCTTCCCTCACCAGGATCTTGATGGTCCCTGTGGACTTCCCAAGAGATCCTGTTATAAGTTTCTCTTCCAAAGATCGAAAGGCTCCCAGAAACAAAAGTAAGCCAGTAGACTGTGCCAAGCTAGATGATGATAGTGTTAAATCTCCCCTTTCCTATTTTGGGTGGCAGGCGTGGATTCTTCCAGCAGCACCGGTACACATCCAAAAGACAATGGTTTAAACACAGACTCACCAAACTAGTGAACTACACTAGTGGGGGGGTTGCTTTCATTTCCCTGGAGTCAACTGGAGATTCTTGGGATAGAGAAGACAAAGGCAGTTGGCCCAAAGAATTATAAAGAGGATGGTGATCAGTTGTTCTCCATGTCCACTGAAGGTAGGACAAGAAGTCATGGGCTTAATCTGCAGCAAGGGAGATTTAGATTAGCTATTAGGTTAAAAACAAGTTGGACAAACACCAGTCAAGATGGTCTAGGTTTACTTGGTCCTTGTCACAGCTGACTTGATTTCTCAAGGTCCCTTCCAGCCCTACGTTTCTATGATTGTGGGATACTTTTGGGATCCAAGTCCAGGGGGCTTCGTCTACATTGCAGAGCAATAGAGCTTGGATTCTGGCTTGACTCTGGCTGAGACCCACCACCCGTGCAGGGCCCTAGGACTCTTGACCTGAATCGGAGCAATTTGTGTATAGATGGAATGGAGGTTTGGACTCGAGTCTGAGTCCGGGCTTATATTGCAGTGTAGGTATACCCTTAAGGTACTACTTGCAGAAAGAACTTTGGTCCCAGCCTATAAATTGACTTTCTACAAAGGAGCCTGCATGTTTGGAAGGCCACTCAGGTAACACTCACTCTATTTTGCAGTTCTGTTTTCTTAATGCTAGAAACTTTGACTGGGTATAGGCTGTCATGAACCAGGATAGTGATCAATGCAAATTGCCTGCCAACAGTTAGGAGGTAAATTTGCTGGAGCTAACAGGATCAGTGGCCAGAATAACACATTACTGGTAATATTCAAAATCCATCTATTTACAATGTCATCGTTTCCTTTAGGAAAATATACTTGAGAGAATTCATTTCCACATTGTGCCAAGCTGTGAAACAGACATGTGCACTTCTAAATCCTGCATCACTCATCAGAAGTTTGCTATGACACTATATGAACAGGTAAGATCTTTGTGTTACAACTTTATCTGTTTTATTTCCAAAATTATGAATTTGTGAAAATGAAAACATCTTGTTTACTTGCAGTGTGTATGCCGTAGTTGTGGGGCGTCATCAGATCCCTTGCCTTTTACAGAATTTGTGCGCTACATTTCTACAACAGCCCTGTGGTAAGTTCCTTTTCTCCTCATTTCCCCTGTTCACCTCCTCCCTCCCCCAAAAATGCAAAATCCCATGCATATTATTCCTATAAATGTTCATATTTTGTACATTTTTTTCTTTGCTGAAATTGACATATGATAAATGGTCCAAAAAATAAAATTTAGATAGTAAAGAAGAGGGTGGAGAGGACTTGATTGAGGTATTCATAATCAAAGGTATGGTACAAAACTAGCCTTTCCTTTTGTTTAACCTGTCACTGAACAAGGAAGTGCTCTAAATTGACTGCTCTTTAATTTGACATAATAAAAAAATACTTCATAGATTCTAGGACTGGAAGGGACCTCGAGAGGTCATTGAGTCCAGTCCCCTGCCCTCATGGCAGGACCAAATACTGTCTAGACCATCCCTGATAGACATTTCTCTAACCTACTCTTAAATATCTCCAGAGATGGAGATTCCACAACCTCCCTAGGCAATTTATTCCAGTGTTTAACCACCCTGACAGTTAGGAACTTTTTCCTAGTGTCCAACCTAAACCTCCCTTGCTGCAGTTTAAGCCCATTGCTTCTTGTTCTATCCTTAGAGGCTAAGGTGAACAAGTTTTCTCCCTCCTCCTTATGACACCCTTTTAGATACGAAAACTGCTATCATGTCTCCTCTGTCTTCTCTTTTCCAAACTAAAAAACCCAATTCTTTCAGCCTTCCTTCATAGGTCATGTTCTCTAGACCTTTAATCATTCTTGTTGCTCTTCTCTGGACCCTCTCCAATTTCTCCACATCTTTCTTGAAATGCAGTGCCCAGAACTTGGCACAATAGTCCAGTTGAGGCCTGTGACAAAGTTGGGATTCACCACCGTGGCACCTCCTACTGGTCGTCTCGGAATTGGTTCGATCCAGTAGAGCGACCCCTTCTGGTGGTGTCCCGTCTGTCGTCCCGCCTTTGGTTGGCGTATGGACCCGCGTTGCTCCCGACGCATGGTGTCCTCTTCTGAGGACAGTGTCCCTTCGTCTATTCACACCCCCCTTCCGGGGGCTGGATGATCAACAGTCCTACCCCTCCAAGTCCGATCCCTACAGCCCGGGATCTGGTGTAGTTTCTGCTGGCCGCTCCCTGCGGCCTATGGCTGGGTGTACTGCCAAGGGGAACAAAGGGGGAGGG